ATAGAATGTCGATGATCTTTCCATCCTGACGGATTTGGACTGGCCGCAGCAAATATTTGACAGATATCTTTTTTCTATCTGATAGTTCTTCGGATTCCCTCAACAGTTTGATAGAAAAGGATTTATTCCAACTGCTTTCTGTTGTAATGTTGTAGTGTGTATACGAAAGTATCTCAAGTCACTTGTTCCTTTCTGTTGATTTGAGTCACTTTGAAATCCTTAATCAAGTTAAGACCTAATCACCAGACCAACCAAATTTGACTTAAACCACTATTTTCCAACAACTTGCTCCAATCATCTCTTTCGGCGATCCTTTGAAGATTTATTGAATTCACTAACTAGCGAAGTGTAAGAAGCATAATCAAGAACAAGCCCTTTTCCACTCCGTAGCTTATCAAAGTCCTCGGGGTTTCCATGCTTGCAATGCCCTTCTAATAGAATGTTGTATGTAATGTCATCTGGAGCCACCCCTAAATTAATCATAGCATCCAAAAGCATATTAGCATTTTTCATCTGTCCTAGCTTGCATACTCCATTCATAAGCGCATTATAGGTTACAACACTAGGTACATAGCCATCACCCTGCATCTCCTTGAGCAACTTAAAACCCATCTTAACATCACCCTTCTTGCAAAACCCGTCAATGATCATTGTATATGTGGCATCATCAGGTTTCATGCCAGAATTTAACATCTCCCTCAACGTTCTTTCAGCGTCGAGTGTTTTTCCTTCTCTACACAATCCCGAAATAAGGGCTGTGAAAGCTACATTGTCAAGCTCAATCCCCTGTTTAATCATTCCCTTCCTTATCTCTAGAGCCGATTGTAGATCTCCTTCTTTGCAGCATCCATCAATAAGCGTAGTATAAGTGATCGTGTCAGGCTTCAAACCTGCTATATTCATCTCCTCAACAAGCTTCCTGGCTTCTTTCAAATCTCCTACCTTGCAAAGGCCATTTATGAGTGTATTATAAGTAATTAAATCTGGTTTGATACCAATCCCCAACATTTTCTGATACACTTCCATTGCCAAATCAATTCTTCCATTCTTACACTGCCCATCAATCAAAGTAGTATAAGTGACATTATTCGGAACCAAACCCCTCTCACACATTTCATCAAACAACAAATTTGCATCGTCCAACCTAAGCTCCTTGCACAGCCCATAGATCAAAACACTGTAAGTAAATACATCAGGACGTGTTCTGCTTTCCTCCATATCTCTCTTCAACCTAAAACACTCCTCCAGATTCCTAGACTTACAATACCCATTAATCAAAGAATTGAAACTAACTACGGTCGGAAGCAAACCCC